CAGACTCTTAACAAATCATATGAGAAAAAAAGAGAACACACCCAAATAAACAAACTCAGAGATGAGAATGGAAACATCACTACAGAAACAGCCAAGATTCATAACATAATAAGGGGATACTTCTCAAACATTTATGCTACGTTTGAGAATCTGAAAGATATGGACAAATTTGTAGCAAATATTGACATGCCCAAACTAAACCAAGATGATTTAAAACAACTTAACACACATATCAAGCATCAAAATAGAAGCGGCAATAAAGACCTCCCACCCAAGAAAAGTCCAGAAAGCAAAAATTCACTACCACACTCTTTTTATGAAGCCAGCATAACCCTCATCCCAAAACCAGGCAGGGACTCATCAAAGAAAGAGAACTATAGACCCATTTCTTTGATAAATATCAACGCAAAACTTCTCAACAAAATCTTGGCCAGTCGACTTCAACAACTCATCAAAAGAATCATACACCACGATCAAACAGGATTCATTTCAGCGATGCAAAGCTGGTTCAATATATGCAAAACAATTAATATAATTCATCACATCAACAAGAACAAGGATAAGAACCACATGATTATCTCAGTAGATGCAGAAAAAGCATTTGACATGATCCAACACCCCTTTATGATGAAGGCTCTGGAAAAACTAGGAATCCGTGGAACATTCCTCAATATAGTAAAGGCTATATATGACAAACCTATAGCCAGCATTATATTTAATGGTGAAAAGTTAAAGCCATTTCCTCTAAATTCAGGAACAAGACAAGTGTGTCCACTCTCCCCACTCCTCTTCAACCTAGTATTAGAATGCCTAGCTACAGCAATAAGACAAGATGCAGACATAAAGGGGATGCAAATAGGGAAGGATGAAGTAAAACTCTCCCTCTTTGTGGATGACATGATCTTGTATTTAAAGAACCCCATGAATTTCACTCCCAAGTTACTTGAGCTGATCAGAAACTTTGGCAAAGTAGCAGAGTACAAAATTAACCCTCAGAAATCAATGGCTTTCCTGTATGCCAATGATGAGAAGAGCATGACTGAAATTAGGAAAGCAACCCCTTTTGTAATAGCCCCACAAAAACATAAAATACTTAGGAGTTAACTTAACAAAAGTGGTGAAGGACCTCTATGATGAAAACTTTAAAAACCTGAAAAAGTAAAATGGAGAACTAAGCAAGTGGAAAAACTCCCATGCTCCTGGATTGGGAGGATTAACATCATGAAAATGACAATACTGCCAAAGGCTATCTAAAATTCAATGTGATACTTATCAACATTCTAACCTCATTCTTCAAGGAAATAGAAGAAGCAATCCAAAAATTCATATGGAGCAATAAAGATCTCAAATAGCAAAAACAATCCTTAGCAGAAAGGACAGCGCTGGAGGAATATCAATTCCAAACTTCAAAGTCTACTACAAAGCCATAGTAATCAAAACAGCTTGGTACTGGCATAAGAACAGACATGAGGACCAATGGAATAGGACTGAAGACCCAGAAATGAACCCACAGACCTATAGGCACCTAATCTTTGACAAGAGAGCCAAAGAAATAGAATGGAAGGAAGACAGCCTTTTCAGTAAATGGTGCTGACAAAATTGGTTAAACATTTGTAGAAAATGAATGAAACTGCAGAGCTTCTGCAAGGCAAAGGATATAGCTAACAAGATCAACAGAAAGCCCACGGATTGGAAGAAGATCTTCACTAGCCATACAACAGACAAGGGTCTCATATCTAAAATATGCTTAGAACTCAAAAAACTAAATCCCCCAACAACAAATCCTCAAAGAAACAACTGCTCCATTAACAAATTGGCTAAAGACTTAAAGAGAGACTTCTCTGAAGAAGAAATAAGAATGGCCAATAGACATATAAAGAAATGCTCAACCTCTCTAGCCATAAAAGAAATGCAAATCAAGACAATGCTGAGATTCCACCTCACCCCAGCTAGAATGGCTATAATCAAGAAATCCAGTAACAACAGATCCTGGAGGGGATGTGGTCAAAAGGGAACCCTACTGCATTGTTGGTGGGAGTGTAAACTTGTTCAATTACTCTGCAAAGCAGTATGGAGTTTCTCAAAAGACTCCACATAGAGCTCCCTTATGACCCAGCAATCCCACTATTGGGCATTTACCCAAAGGATCACAAACAAAGTCATACTAAAGCTACCAGCACAACAATGTTTATTGCAGCATTATTTACAATAGCTAAGATATGGAACCAACCCAGATGCCCCTCAGTAGATGAATGGATCAAGAAAATATGTATATATACACAATGGAATTCTATGCCTCCATCAGAAAGAATGACATTGCCTCTTCTGTTAGGAAATGGAAAGACTTGGGAAAAAATCATATTAAGTGAAGTAAGCCAGGCCCAAAGAAACATAGGTCCCATGGTTTCCCTTGTTTGCAATGACTAATACATGTCTAGGACAAACAGTAGGTCAAAGGCTATGTACATCCAACCATATGAGATAATGTTAAGCAACATATACCCCAACACAGGGACACAAGAGGTTTTTTTTTCTTTCTTGCTATTATTTTCAATGTACTTACAATACACTATGTGGGTTTTTTTTGTCTCTATTGTATGTTCTTTCCCCCATTGTATAACCCCTGCTTTCACTGGATTTGATGCTGGTGCTCTGCACCTTGTATACATATTTTTGTAATTTGGGGAGAGGAAGGGATATTGCAGAACGCTTAAATGAGATTGCACGCTGACCCATTGTGACGACAAGATGTACAGGACACTATATTGAAAACAAACTTTACAGTGTTCGGGATGGGTGCAGGAGGAGTTAGGGAGGTGGAGAGGGAAGTCCAAGAAAAGCTACAATCGCCACTTGGAAACTAGGAAATGGACTAACTAGACCCATAGAAGAGAACCCAGAGCTGCTAATGGAAGACCTGGTTCTAAATCAAAGAACCAGACAACAGCAAACACAAAACCACCAGAGGTGAATAGTGGGGGAAGAGAAAACAAAAGACATTCCATAGAGGAAGAGCTTGCAAATTGAAAGTTTGAAAGCACACAAGGAAAAACTAATACAACTTTGGTGGGGTAGGGGGTGGGGAGGGAGAGCTGGGAAGGGATGGGAAGGGGAAACAAAGGGGGAGGCAACAATGCTTGATAAGAAATGTACTCATTACAGTGCCCATGTAATTGTAACCCCTCTGTACAGTATTGATAACTATGAATCAAAAATAAGTATGCATGAAAAAATGAACAAAATATGTTTACAATAAAATATACAGTCATGGAACCTAGAAAAAGCTGAGGAAGACAGACGTAGTGAAAAAGAGAATTAGTGTATCAAAAAATCATACTGAGGAATTCACTGAGAATATAACCCAGTAAGATATGTAGACAAAGAAAATGAAGGGAAAATTGAAATGCCTTAGCATATGTCAAATAGAAGTTTCAGTGGAAGTATAAAACACTAGGAATGGTATGTTGATGATGTATTTGGTAGATTTTCATTGCAGTGACAAAAATAACTTGACATAGCAATGTAAGAGAGGAAAGATTTGCTTAGCTCACAGTTTCAGTAGATTGAGTCTGTGATTGCTTTTCCTTTTAACACTTTGGGCAGAACACCTCAGTGATAGTAATGGAAGCCTGTGACAGACAACCTTCTTGACCTCATGGCAACAGGAAACAGGGGTGGTACAGGAAGAGGCCAGGGTAAGATCCAGGCCTCAAGTACATACCCTCCATGATTTGCTTCCTTCAATGAGGCCTGCCTCTTATCTTTCACCTTTTTTCCAATAAGGCCTCATAATATGGATCTATCAAGGGATTAATGCACTCACAGGTCAGAGCCCTCATGATCTAATGGTAGGTTTATAGGTCCATTCTAGCTACCACAACTGAAGGAAACCATACAACCTATGTTTCTCTGAGTCTGGCTTCCTTCACTTACTATAATTTTTCTCCAAGTCTCTCCATTTCCTTATGAATGGTACAATATTCTTTCTTACGGATGAGTAGAATTCCATTGTATATATTCCATATTTTCTTGATCCATTTATCCATGGGTTTTAATGACTTAAAAAAGACTACACAGAAGAAGAAGTAAGGATGTCAATACACATGGAACATCTCTGGCCATAAAGAAAAGGCAAATCAAAACAACATTGAGATTCTCACCCCAGTTAAAATGGCCAGTATCAAGAAAACTGACACTAACCAACTCTGGTGTGGATGTGGCCAAAAGAGAACTCTATTGCCCTCTTGGTGGGAATGTAAACTTGTTCAACTACTCTGGAAAGCAGTATGGAGGTTCCTCAAGAGATTAAACATAGAGCTTCCCTATTATTCAACAATTCCACTTCTGGACATTTATCTAATAGAGCACAAACAAGGCCATACTAAAGCTATTAGAACAATATTTAATAGCCTGTTTTCTTTCACTTGATATGCTGCCATCCCATTCCCACATTATTCTTTATTTCTATAATTGTTATTGTAAATGGCTCTGTAATATTAGGAGCGATTAAGGTCAAAGTTTACAATTTTATAGAAAGATAAGCCAGTATTACATATTTATAAACTTCCAAAATTCTAATAGATTCCAATAATTCTATAATTATTACTTAATAACCTGTGATTTTATTTATTCCAAGTACAATGTTTTAACACTAATAGTTGCTATTTATATGAGCTTTACTGTCACCACTTTGCTGAGGCATTTTCTAATCACCTTGGAAACCTCCATCCAAAAATATTAAAATGTTAAATATTTTAAAATATTAAAAAAAAGAAATCTCAACAGTAGAGAAACAAGTGGTAGTGAGACAAAAGGGGAATTTATTTCAGTAGGATAAACACTGAGAAAGACAGGAAGACTAATATCAGATCCCAATCCTTGAAGTGTGACTACAACTCCACTCTTATGTAGACTCAGAAGATAAAAGACTGCTATCCTTTGCTCAAAAAAAAGAAAAATATACAATGTTCATCAAATGGTTTGTCTTTTATTCTCTACAGAACATTAGAACTGACATTGTAATGGATGCTTCTTTCAGTATAAATCCTGCTGTGGACATAGGACAGGTATGTACACACCTTATTCCAAGTTATCACTAAATATTTCATTCAACTAATCACAGAATACGTATTCTAGATATGATTTAAAAGAAGCAACTCTTTCTTCTGTTTCCTGGATATCATTAAGTAGTTTGTTCTATTAACTAAGATTATTTTTCTGTCCTTTATATGTATAATGCTATGAAAGGAGAATCCCTGAATTCTATTCATTCATTCAACAAACATCTATGAATTACACAGATGCCCCTGCCAAATGCACTTAATCAAGTGGAGCCTGCAATCTGTATTTTCAATAAATTGTTCAGGCATGTGTGGTATTACACACATCAATTGCTGATTCCTGAGATTCATTTAGGCCATTTATAGTCAGACAAAAAGTTTAGAAGAAGCAGAAACTACACAATGAGAGAACAAATGAAGAAGAGGAGCATATGTCCAGAAATGCTTAGGAAGTAAAATCAGAAATTGACCAGGGTTGGCAGAAAGAGTCAGTAGGTGAAGAAATTTAAAAAAGAATAGATCCCAAGTTTCCAATATGGGAACCTAGATATGGAAAATGCAAATTAATACTTCAGAGAGAGGAATATGAACTCAACTTTACTTTGTTGACTTCAAGTTGCCTATAAAAGATCCAGGTAGAAAACTAGGGGCCAATGGTTCATTCCTGTAATCCTAGCTACTCAAAAGGCTGAGATCTGGGGTGCACAGTTTAAAGCCGGTCCAGGCAGGAGGGTCTGTGAGACTCTTACCTCCACTGAACTACCAAAATAAAAAGCCTGAAGTGGAGCTGTGGCTCAGGTGGTAGAGTGCTAGCCTTGAGTACAGGAACTCACGGACAGTTCCAGACCCTGGCAGCCCCAGGACCAGCACCAAAAAAAAAAAAAAAAGTTTAGGTAGAAACAGCTAAAACATTGGATGTACAGGTCTAAACCTTGAGACCTGAGCTAAAGATGAATATTTTAGGCTGATCTACATAAAAGTGGTTATTGAAATTTCCTAAGAATCAGGATCATGGCAATGAAGGAAGGAGCAATGGAGAGAGAGGATGAAAGAGAAATATGCATTCATTAATGAACCTAAATATTTTAGCATATCGCAAATGTGAACAAATAAAAAGTTAGAAAGTTCTTGCCCATGTAATTGTAACTCCTCTGTATAGTATTCTCACAATAAATTTTTTTAAAAGTTAGAAAGTTTCTTTCAGCATAACGTTTATAGTTCCTACTAGTGATTTTTCTTGAATCTAATTTTTGTGGGTCTAAATTCTATTTAAATAGCTCTTGAATTTAGAATACAATCAGATTAGATTGAAGTTTGTTAGAAGTTAGTCCTTGAAATGAGAAAAGAGAGGAATGGTACTGGGATGTGAGCCCAATGCTAAAGACATTCGCTATTGAGAAAGAACAGATCCAAGACCTTGAAGGCATCTTTAGAAGGGATATTCTGGTACCTGGAAGAGTGGCTAACATTTTATCCTTTCACTGGTTAGATGACTTTGTGGTGAAAAGACCTTGTTCCAGAGACTGAACAAGTCCCCACAAAAGAGACTGGGGCATCTGTTTCTAAAATCATTATTATGTAAATGGTGGCTCAGCAAAACATTGAAAATAAACAATATTTGTTTTTACAAGCAAGTCTAAACATTTCTCCAAAATCTAGTCAGGGATTTTACAAGTCATTAGTCATATCTGGAAGTTAAAAATGGAGTGCTGGACTCCAAAGGGAATCAGTCACTTAAAAGAATGACATGTCTAATCAACTCCAAATGGATCAAAGACCTTGAGATAAAAGCAGACTCTCTGAAAACATTACAGGAAGGAATAGGAGAAACTCCAGGGCTCCTTGGTACAGGCCAAAATTTTCTTAATAAAGATCCAGAAACACAACAAATAAAAGAAAGGTTGGACAAATGGGATTGCATGAAATTGCAGAGCTTCTGCATGACAAAGGACATAGCTGAAAACCCATGGATTGGAAATAGATCTTCACTAGCTACACAACAGACAAGGCCTCATATCTAACATATACTTAGAACTCAAAAAGTTAAATTCCCCAAAAACAAAGTCTCAAAGAAACAACTGCCCCATTAAAAAGTGAGCTAAAGACTTAAAGAGAAATTTCTCTGAAGAGGAAATAAGAATGGCCAATAGACACATGAAGATATGCTCAACTTCTCTGGCCATAAAATAAATGTAAATCAAAACAACATTGCGATCCCACCTCATCCCAGTTAGAATGGCTATAATCAAGAACTCTAAAACAACAGATGCTGGAGGGGATGTGGCCAAAAGGGAATGCTACCACACTGTTGGTGGTAGTGTAAACTTGTTCAACCACTCTGGAAAGCAGTATGGCGGTTCCTCAAAAGACTACACATAGAGCTCCCCTATTACCCTGTAATACTACTTCTGAGCATTTACCCAAATGACCACAAACAAGGCCACACTAAAGCTACCAGCACAACTATGTTTATCATAGCAATATTTATCATAGCTAACCCAACTCAGATCTCAGATGCCCCTCAGTAGATGAGTAGATACACACACACACACACACACACACACACACACACACAATGGAATTCTCAGCTTCCATCAGAAAGAGTGACACCCCCTCATTTGTAAGGAAATGGAAGGACTTGGGAAAAATCATATTAAGTGAAGTAAGCCAGACCCAAAGAAATATAGGTTCCATGGTTTCCCTTATTTGTAATAATTAGTATATGTCTAAGATAATCTTAGCAGATGAACAGAATAGCTCAATATCTATGTACATATGACCATAGAAGATAATGATAAATTAAATGAACTCCAAGACATGGACGCAATACGTTTTTCTTTGTTGTTGTTCTCCATATACTTGATTCTTTTGTCTGTTCTTCCCCCTATGGTTAATTCCCTGTTGCCATTGTATTTGATTTTGGTACCCTGAGTATTGTATATATGTTTATCTGAATTAGGGAAGGGAAGGGGAACAACAAAATGGTAAGACACAGGATAAAGGGGAACCAATGCAACAGTAATATTCCCAAGAAAATATGTTGAAAATGATCTGTACAACTTGGAGGGATTGAGGGGAAGGAAAGGGAGAAAATGAAGGAGGAGTAACAAGTTAGACAAGAAATGTACTCACTACCTTATGTAACTGTAACTGCTCTGTACATCACCTTGACAATAAAATTAAAATGTAAAAGAGTCACATGTCCTTGACACGTTGAACTGAAATCCTTTTGTAAAATTACATAATGATAATAAAATTAATAAAAATTATATCTTTGGGTGATACTTGGAAGGTCTTAAGGTAGCATGAAAGAATAAGATTATTTCTTTCTGTTGTAGATTGAAGGGGCCTTTGTTCAAGGTCTTGGACTTTATACCCTAGAGGAGTTGAAATATTCTCCAGAAGGAGTCCTCTATACCCGTGGTCCAAAACAGTACAAGCTCCCTTCAGTCACTGACATCCCAGAGGAGTTCCATGTGTCCCTGCTGACAACAACCCAAAACCCAAAAGCAATCTACTCCTCCAAGGTAAGCATCTCTGATCTACAGATCTGACAGTCTGAATTTAGGGATTTTTCTTCTAACAGGTGAGTGGATGGATGGATGGATGGATGGATGGATGGATGGATGGATGGATGGATGGATGGATGGATGGACCAATCTATATATCCATCAGGACAAAAACAATCACACTGAGGAATTCACTGAAAATAAAGCCCAAAGATATAGAAATAAGAGAATGTACATGGAAAGGCTATATTCAATGATGCCAAGGTCTGAAGGGTGAAGAGGTGTTCATGATCCTCTTATTCTATGCTTCTCACCATAATGGGCTCTGCTACACCCAGTTCTTCAGCGATATGAATACACACAAAACTTCTTTCTCCCTAAGCTGGCCTGGACCTGCTGTCCTCCCACCTTTAGCCTCCCTTGTAGCTAGAGTTACAGTGAGCATTTCTGTGTCCTACTGTTAATTGAAAAGGCATCTTGCAAACTTTTTGCCCAGGCTTGTCTTGAACTATGATCTTTCTAATCTAAGACTCAAAAGCAGCCAGAACTTAATTTCTCAAACATCTGTATGTGTACCAACAACATATACATGTGTATATTGGGAAAACAAGACCGATAGATCTGACAGAAGAATATAACCAACAAAACACTGCTTTGGAGAAACACTGTTTGAAAGTGTCTATATCTTTATCTAAGTCAGATGTAATCCCAGTGTAATTTGTCTAATAAACAAAATGAAAGACATATAGCTTCCTTATTCAAGTGTCAGGAATCACAACCTCAGAATCCCTCTAATTCAACCGCTGGGCCTCCAGCTTGGGAGGGCAGTGGGTTGGCGAGGGGGAGCCTCCAGCCACAGAGGAGAACCAGCTGCTAGTGAAGACAGGCCCGGAGGACCTTGCTGGACCAGTGTAGGTGGGGCCGAGAGTCTTTGATGATCTCCAAGTCAATGAAGCTTCCCTGGATCAAAAATCACACCACCACCTTTCGTCTCATTTCCAGCATTAGTCACCGTTTGAGGGATTTCTTAGGCAGACTATGAATTAAGGTGTGATTGATCTGTTAAGGAATAGATTTACCAGAAGTAAAACATTAGGGATAAAGTTATATAATCACAATAAAACGTGATTAAAAGAAGTGGTTCTTAACATGGTTTCTAGCACCTTGCACTATCTGCCCTACCAACCTTTCGCAAAACTCTTTGTGCCATTATTTCTGCACAGCCTTCTTCACCTACCTGGTTGGGGCCAGCTTTTCCTTCCTTGACTACTTTGCATACATCCCTTGCATTTGACAAGGTTCTTCAGAGAAACAGCTTTTGGCATGTATCTGTATACATGTGTATAGGTAAATGGACATGCATCATATGTGTGCTTAAATCAAATGTAATGCCTATCTGCATGTATGTATATGTGTGCATATGTTATATATATGTATATGTATGTATACATAGAATGTGGAAGCTATATATTTTAAAGAACTGGCTCCCACAATTATAGGGGTAACAAGTTCAAAGTCTCTAAGGAAGGTCAACAGGCTGCACACTTGAGTACCATTTCTATGTTGAAGACTTGAGGTAGAATAATTCCTTCTCAAGGAAACTCTTAAGGACTTCAACTGATTGAAGAAGACTTACTCGCATCATTAAGGGTTATCTTTTCTTAAAGCCAGTGTTAATCACTATGACATAACTTTCACATAAACACCTTTATGGGTGTTTGGTGAAGCAACTAGGTGCCATAACACTCACTATGCTGCTGCACAAACATCACCATCATGCTGCTTCTACCTGGGACCTCCCCTTCCTCCCTTCCCTCACCTGACTGATGCTATCTCACCTGCAAGATGTCACTATAAATGTCACTTCCTCAGGAAGCCAGTCCAGTCCCCACAACTATGCAAGTGCCCACTGGTGTCCTATCTTGTAGCAATTTTCTTGCCTCCATGTGTGTGCTTATTTCCTTGTGCATCTGAACTCTATGTGAGCAAGGCCAGGCAGGCTCTGATTGCCACATCAGGGCTGTTCTAACCCATAGATCACCTTTAGGCACATCAGAGAAAGACTTCTGGTCTCCAGGTAGAAGCACCCCTCACAGACCAGGCCCTGCAGGCAGGACATAGCTGGATGTTACTCTCCCTCTTGACAGAGGAGTCAGGTATCTGCCTATATAACCAGGCAGAATTCTTTTTTTTTAATTTAATTTAATTTTATTTGTGAACATACTGTACAGAGGGGTTACAATTACATTGGCAGGATAATGCATACATTTCTTACCAAGCATTGCAGCCTCCTCCTTTGGTTTACCCTTCACATCCCTTCCCAGCCTCCCCCCTCCCCCCAATCCCAATCCTTCTCCCTCCCCCCCCCCCCCGCACCAACGTTGTAAAGCTCGTTTTGGACATGACAACTTGTACTTCTCATTGTTGCAACAGGTCTACCTGTATCTTTAAACAACTGGTTTTTCCCCCACTCCTCCACAAGTTATACTGACATCAAATATAGTGAAAGCAGGGGTTATACTGTGGGGGAGGGACATACAAAGCAACAAAGAGATAATCTTATAAATGCATTAGAAACACATGCATGAAAGAAAAAAACATTAAAATACATATCTAAGGGTTCATTTTCCTGACATCACATTATCTGACCTTTTCCGCTTGACTCATAGATATACTAGATATTGCAAATAAGGGAAACCATGGGACCTATGTTTCTTTGGGCCAACCAGGCAGAATTCTGACAGTTACTTAGATTGTACCTTCCATGCAGAATAGAATGCATGAACTGTCCCTTCCATACAGTGTTTCAGGGCCTAGGTGCTGGGGTGCTCAGGTTTTCCTCAAAAGACATCTAACCCAGAGACCCTCAGTGCATGAATGACACCAGAATCTCCTGGAAGAGGCACATGGATCTTGAAAAGGCTTTGACTCATTATTCTATTCTCAGGTTGTAGCTTGGTAAAGCTTTTGGACTCATTGTTTTAATTCAGAGCAATTTGGATAAGCTCTTGGCATGGGTCTACCTAGGAGTGTCAGATACTGGGGAGATGTTTTGCTACTTTCCTCATCCTTTAATTCCCCAGTTGGCACTGGAGGTAATATCTGTAACTGTGGCTAGTTTCATCAGCCACACCCACATGGTCTTCTTAGGTAGGAGCATGCCAAGCCTCAGCCAAGAATCTTGCCATCTGGTTAGCATTGCCAGCATTGGGATTACTACCTGGGCCTGCCCTCCTCTGGAACAGATCACCCTTGGGACCCAGCCAGTACCCTAAAACAAATAGAGAATAAGTGCTCTAGCAGAGCTCAACGCTGTCCTAGAGCTAGTCCTGAGAGATAATTACAAAGATCATCACCTTGAGAACAGAATGAGCCTCTGTAGGCAAGGAGTTGGAAGAAACGAGAGGCTGCCAGCCTCAGTTGACCCATGTGCAGTCAGTGGTGGAATTATGTAACATTCACTGAACCCCTATGTGAATCAGCCATTGAGCCACCCAAGGAAACAGAGAGCTGCCCGCTAGACATTGTGGGGATGGAAGGGAATAGAACCCCTCTGGGTATTCTTTAGCTCAGGTCAGTGATCAGTATGTCCACTCCTCCCTACACCCATGGGATGACTATTCTAGGTTGGGTTTCTAAAAAGTCTTTCTTTCTCCTTCACCTCCAGGGCCTAGGCGAGTCTGGAATGTTTCTGGGGTCTTCAGTGTTTTTTGCCATAGCTGATGCTGTGGCTGCAGCTCGCAAGGAGAGGGGCCTGGCCCCACTTTTGGCCATGAACAGTCCAGCCACACCAGAGCAGATTCGGATGGCCTGTGTGGATCAGTTTACAGAGCTGGTATGAGACTCCTCCGTCTTGTCTGTGAATCTCTGTAACCCCTACAGTGGTTCTCGGTACATGTGGGGCTGGGACACACACATCAATTCAAAAGAAAATTCACAGGCCCAGCAAGCATAATTTACTGTGAGTTTTCAAATGGGAAGCTAAAGGACTTTTTTGTCGTTGGTGGTTGTGGGGCCTGAACTCTGGGCCTGGGCACTGTCCCTCAGCTCTTTAGCTCAAGGCTAGTGCTCTACCACTGGAGCCACAGCGCCACTTCTTGTGTTTTCTGCTTATGTGGTGCTGACGAATCTAACCTGGGGCTTCAAGCATGCAAGGCAAGCACTCTACCATCTTTCCAGCCCAGGAAAGATTTAATATAGGAAATATAGGAATATAGATTTAATATAGGACTTAATATAGGAAATATAGATGTTAAAAGGGCTAAGAAATATCTAGGTATGGCGGTATACACTGTAATCTTAATACTTAGAAGGTTCAAGGTTGGCCTGGCCTGGGCTGACAGGTCTTATAGCAAGACCCTGCCTCAAACCAAAACAATGGTCTTTTCCATCTAGGTCCTGGAATGGCTGCAGTGGACTGATGTGCAGGACTTGAATTTAGATGATTGGACTCAAATCACAGCTCAGCCATTTACTAGCTATAAGTAGGACTTTGGGCAAGTTTTGACCCATTATTTTTTTATCCTTAATGTGGAGAATATATCTGCCTACTTATATTAAATGAGTATTAAATAAGCTTAGTTCTAAAAGTGCTTAATGTAGCGTTGGCATATATTAACCTTTGAATCAATGTTAGTGGTGGCCATTATAATTACAATTATTATTAGAGCACACCCAGGTCCTGGGTATCCAGCCATATGTTTTCTGATTTTTTTAACCTGTTGCACTATAATGGAAAACTGAGCCATGCGAGAGGCACAGTGCAGGAGGAGATACATGTCTGGGGTTTAGCAAGGGTACTACATCCCTGAACCATTATCCTAATGAGTCAGCTGAAACTTCCCTGACAAATGACTGAATAATATATTCTAAAATGCATATGAAAAGACTATTACTCTTCTATACTAAAGACAGTATGTGGCAGTCAATAGATATAACTTTTTGTTGTTATTGTAGTTTTGTGCCAGGCCTGGGGCTTGAACTAAGTCCCGAGCATTGACCCTGAGCTGCTTTTGCTCAAGGCTAGTGCTATACCACATGAGCCTCAGTTCTACTTCTGGCTCTTTTTTGTTGGTGGTTAATTGTAGATAGAAGTCTCACAGATTTTTCTTTGAACCAGTCCTCAGATCTCAGCCTCCTGAGTAGTTTGAATTTCAGGCATGAGCCACCAATGAATGAATACTCAAAAACAAATTTTTATGGTATACCTAAAAATTGTGGCTAGATACTTAAGAAATGGCCAAAAAATGGAAAAGGATCTCACTCATGGAGTTTTTTATAGTTAAATGACATAGGATCTTTACATGAAATTGGTATGAGAACTGTTAACAGCCCAAAAGCAGCCCTTGACAAGAAGGCAAGTATCCAGCTAATAGGAGAGTTCTAGAAAAGCAGACATAAAGAAAAAGGAATTCCTACTGGAGGAAAAAGCTAAATCAAAGGCATTGGTGAGAAAGGGCAGAACGACATCAGTTATGTCTCAGAACACAGATCATTTGGTTTGGCTAGAGGACAGAATTTGAAAGGGAACATGTGGTGATTAAACTGGAAAAATAGCCAAGCCATGTTGCCTGTCATCCAATTGGCTAGAACAAGCAGAGTCAAAGATAAGTACAATTTGTATTCAGGGTGATAGGGGAGGATATGGGTACTCAAGAGCAACAGAGGATCTAGTTTCAAAGGGAACATGGTGAATTTGCTTTGTGATCTATAGTGTGTTAGTTAGTTAAGGGATTTATCCGACAGGCAGCTAATGTAGGATTGGCAAGAGAATTAGGTTGCAGACAGATTTGTGAGTCATTAGTATAAAGCAGTAATTAGAGTCTGTGAAATGGGATAAACCTCACCAGAGGATGAACTCATACAGAAGGAAGAAAGCACAAGATGTAAAGAGGAGGGAAAGGAAAAGAGAAGAATGGTGGAAAGAAAGGCAAGAATGAGGCAGGAGATGGGAAGACAGACGTGGGAGGACAGAGCAAAGAAGACAGGAAACTCTCCACACCTTGACACCTGTTCACTGGGCCTGAAGCACCTTCAGACAAGACTGACCATCTGCATGGGAAAGAGGTTACAAGTACAGAGCAGGATGTAAAAGGCGTGATCATCCCCCACCCCCACCCACACATACCTAAACGACAAATTCCACTCACCTGAAGAGCACTGCAGCATAACACAACCCTGCCATGGAGGAAGGCACCCCAAACTCCAGTGGTTGAGTGGAGACAGGAGGCCATCCCTCCTGGCTCCCACTGTCTCTTGCTCCCTTTCACAACCACACTATGACAAGAACAGGAGGTGAAAACCTTTGTGGAGCATGGGCGCTGTGGCCATGGTGACATCCGGTGATCTTGAAGATGAAATATGCCCTAACTCAAACTGTTTGCCGCCTGGGAGATCATTGTCAGAACTGATGAATCTTCACTAACTCAGCCCTAGGCAGAAGCAACTGACCATTTGGATCCAAGTCTTCCAGTGCCCCAACCTCATTCCATCCAACAAATTTGAACCTGTAAGAATGTCATGCACCCAGTGCTGAACCAATATTAGTTATTGCTCTGTGCCATCGGCAGGATCCATTCCATGAGGAGACTGGAAGGTTCTTCTTTCTCAGATAAGACAAAGTCAAACCATCCCCTCACACCACTCTCACCCCAGAGGGAGCTTTGGGGAGATGCCCAGCTGAGGAGAGCTACCTGGTCCTCTTCTCCAAGAGGCCCACACAGCCCCTCTTAGCCCTGCATGTGGTGACCCTTCTTTGCCAGCCTATAACACCAGGGACTTCCTGGGACTCAAGCGGCCAGCAAGGGTGATGCTCCTCACAGCCCTGAAGATGCAGGAGGAAAAGGCAACTGCAAGGACAAAGCTTTAGCAGCAGCCTCACTTGTCCTGGGCATCTTGCTGACAGCAGAAGAGAAGATATGCAAGCCATGTTCATTCCAGCTAGGCCCAGTGTTCTTGGAAAGCAAGAGATGGAACATTTTAAAGAATTCCTCTGAAAAGAAAAGCACACTAAATATGGTTTCAAGTAACTTGATATTTTGTCACCCACAAGTTTCAAAACAGTTATTAATGTCTTAATGTAGGAAGTGGAGCTGTGGCTCAAGACACAGAGCACCAACTTTCAGCAAAAAAAAAGCCAGATGAGAGTGCAAAGCCCTGAGTTCAAGTCCCAGTATCCTAGCAGTGCTTACACATGTGAATATCTTAATGCAAGTACAAATGAATGGATGGACATTCTATTTTCAAGAAATGAATGTCTTCCTCTAGTGCATGCTCTGTGCAGGTAAAAGAGTGTTACCGAAACAGAGACCATTTCCCAAGAAGAATGAAATGCTGCTGTTATCCTTGAAACTAAAGAGAGGCAAAAATGTACCTGTGTTCATTTGAGGACCAGCTGCCTAACTTTCCTGAGTACTGATGACCAGGAATTCATTCTTGAAAGGGTTGTCCTCCTTTATAGAGTATTGGTTTGCTAGACTCTGAATAGAAGTGGACAGGACCCAGAGAATGAGTTGTGAGAACCTGGCGGGAAATGGTTTGCTATGAGGAAGATCCACCAGTGGACTGGACTGGTTAATTGCCTATATGGTGAGAAATATTTTTCTAGCCCTAGAAGCTGAATAAATCCTATAGTCAATATGTGTAGTTTCTACCATGAAATATTAGCATTCAGATTATTTTCACCCTCTTTTTATGACATCAGAAAACAAATTTAGAAAAGTGAAATCAAATCATAGCTCTTGGAATGCACCAAGAGCATATGGGTGGGACAGCAAAATTCTGGTCTTCGTGTGTCTCTAATTTTCTACACATTTCACAAGAAAGGAAAACTGCTTGTGTTTTTCAATATAAAATGCAAGAGCAGGAGTATTTCACCAGCTGAAAGTTTGCAAATGTATTATACCTTCTTTAATTGAATGACTCCCCCCCACACCCATGTAAATCAAGGTCACAACATGATAAATGTCTATGCATGAAGGCTTCTTTATTATGCTCAATTTAGGAAAGATTTAAAGAAAGAAACTATCTTTCCAATTCATTATGCTAGGAAGATGTCAACTGGTGCTTTCTGGTTTATCAGAAAAAAACTGAAAAGATTTGAGAAATTCTATTTTGTGCAATAAATATAAATTTTCTTTTTAGATAAATTTAGGTAAATGTATAAATTTTATAAACCCTACTGAACATCATAACTTTTTTTTTATTTAAGCAAAAAATTACTTCTATTTTATTTTTGAATTAATGTATTTTGTAGCATTGGGGGCTTCATTGTGGCCTTTCTGTCTTATACACACAGTTTGCTAGATGAAAGACTGAAGGAAAATTTGATTGCCTAAATAGAAATTCTATGTTACTAGGTATGTTTAGCTTTTCCCTCACTTATTACATATTTAATCATTTCTCAGTTTCCATATCCAAGTAAGTGCTTATTTTTTAATTCCATACCTTCTGAGTTTTTAGGAACTAAAAGTTAAATTAAATTTATTTAAAGCTACAGTGATATTGTAGTCATTTAACTTTTGTTATTTTTCCTTAGCAAAAACCTCAGACAAATAAAAACTTCAATCTTAAATTAAAAAACAAACAATGAAAGCATACTGAATTCAATGGGCTAGGCCTTCATTTTATATACAATTATTAAAAAGACTACAAAATTATAATCAGATGCATAAATATTAAGCACCTGAAGAGTACTCTCTGTTCTTTATATCTTGTTTCAATTTTAATAAAATTCCAATCCCTATGTAAACTCAAAATTTTATATTATTATATTTATAGTAGATAATGTAATAATTTAGATTAAGCATTTACTTTAAATATATTGCTGCTGATTATATGGGTACTTTTATTTTTTCTGTTTTTCAAGCATATTCCTTAATTTTTCTGAATTTTTCTTTTAGGTTCCACAAATTGATTCTGAAGGCTGTAAACCTTGGTCCATCCCAGTTGCCTAATGTTTTGTTTTCAAAAACAAACATTAACTTTCTGATGGATTTAAAGACTCAGTAGGTCACTAATGTAAGCATCTTTATCTAAAAGATATGATTTCTTTATATAAGAAATTCTTTCTGTAAGAAACTGAGAGTTTTATGTAAGAAATTCTTTATAAAAGAAGTTGGGAGCAAGTCTTACATCTTCCCATTTCATATTTACAAACTATCTTGTAATCTTCAATTATACATATATAAGCAAGATGTTGCTGAAACTTCAACAAAAATATGGTGTTTGATTTGGTGTAATCAGCATAGTATTTTTCAATTGTGAACCATTCTTCTATCTGATTCAGATAAGATAAAAGCCTAGACTACAATGATCTTGTTCTGAGAAGAAAAAAAAAGAAATCAGGTTGATTGCTGGCAGCTTGTGAAGTATCTTCTTTAAGATAATGTTCTGCATTAAATACTGGTATATCGTAAGTGATCATTCATAGCGCCTGTAAAGTCAGTATTCACTTGCTTATTTCAATGCACAACTTTGCTGGCAGTTCATTATAATGTGTTAAGTCTCTCCTTTATCAAAGAATTATTGATTTACTCAAAGAGTTGCTGAATAAAGGAGGGTCACCTCCTAACATGATTTGTATGAGGGCAAATGAAACTGGAAAGATAATTACATAAAACACTAAAAATATTTGCCACCGTAACCTCAACAAAGCAGTGTTCAGCCTCTTTCTACTTGTTGAATTTTCCCCTATCTCTGTGTTCAAAATGAAGATTAGTTGTATTTGGTTGCACAAAATAAACCTGTGAATGAGGCCAAATAAATAGTCAATAAATATGCCTTTAGGTTAAGCTCCAAATGCATGAACACTCAATATTTTCAGTATTCAAAGCACATTCAGATGCTGTCCAGTTGGAAGTATTCTAATGCCAATTTCCAATGGGGGAAAAGTACACAATAACAGACAGTAACTTCTTTTTGTCTAATTTTTATATATGCAGACTTTTCAGTGGCCATGATTTTCATCAAGATGATTTTGTACACAGCATCACCATAAATCTACTCAATCCTTTTAGGATATTTATTCATTTCTTATCTTTACCGTCTATGCTTCCATTTCCAATGCATGAGCAGTTTGTCTGAGGGTCAAATGAAAAGAATGAAGGATGGTATACTAACTACCCAGGAATAGGAAATTAGGGAGGCAATTTATTTACCATGGGGGTTCTTGTGAGTTTGGGCAGGAACTGCAGCCATAGGACGAACGCAATGACCACTAACATGCATGTCTTTTTCCAGTTTCAAACATTTCCACCTCCTCTGTTGAACACGAGGCTTCCTAATGTGATTAGAGGGATTCATAGCAAATACTTATCACAATAGAAACCACCCAGAAGAAGGCCCAGAAAGAGCCCAGATTGTTCTCTAGGCCACATTGATTAGGTTTATTATCAGGTCTTTAGAAAGAAAGAACAAAAAAAAATGATGACAAATACTAAAACCTTTAGTATTAAAGTATGTATGCAGTCATTTTTGAGAATGTTCTTTTTTTATACCAAAGCTACATATGTGCATAAGAGGTATAATGACTACTGTATGGCCGTCCACTAGCAATGCTACCGGGAAGGCCCAAAGGACCAATTTCACAGATGCCTATCTTAGCCCTCTCAAAACCACAAAGGTGTGATTTTTTTTTTATACTGGAGCAGTCATGTGCAGTCGCTGACCTATTTATAGGAGGAAAGCCCTAATTTTATACCTTCGAGTAGCCCCAACCCAACAACTTGGGGCAGTTGGTCCTTATTTGAATTTTCTGATCTTGAGGTGTAGTTGAATTTTACTGGTAAACCATTCCTTGCTATCTTCTTATTCTGTAGTTCTTGTGTTGCATCTGAAGCAGCAACTTAGATTTTGCACCCCCCCCAAAAAAAATAAAGAACCAAGAAGGACCCTACTCAATGTTCAGGCTCTAAGTGGCCAGACTCATGCATGAACAGATCTTTGTTCCTACTCATCTGTGTTCTAAGCTGCACCAAAAGAAGCAGTTTGGAAAATAAAACAAAACGGTATTATTGTATTTTTCTGTCTCTCTGTTTCTTAAAGAATATTAACTGAAATCTGATTTGTAACTCATCACAACATTTTTGAGGACTACTAAAATTTTCCTCAAAGTGGGAGATGGGGAGAATGTAATCATAATATTCAATGTATATCCTATGAAACTAAGAAAATTGAGGGTAGGGGTTGGCTTGGGAGAGATGGGGAGGATGATGAAAGGGGTGATATCAATCAAGATGTATTGTACTTATAAGAACGATTTGTTGGATGGTAACTCCTTTGTATAATTAAAGAAAATAAAAATGGTTTCCTCTAAATTTCTCAAGCCTTATGACTTCTGTTTCTCCAAAGTCCATCAAACTTTGGCCCAGGTCCAGCTTCTCTGCCAGTATTTCCTTGTCTTTGCCTTCTTTGTGTTGCTTCCCTATATCACTCAGCTTGCTTTCAGCAAAAGAAAGCACAAGATCAATCTGAGAGGAAGAAATCCCTCTCTGTGGAGGAATAGATATGGAGAAAGGAAGACAGAACACGTTTCCTCAGTCTACCCAATCACAACTTCAATAACTGCAGACCGAAAAAAAAATGTTAAGAAACATTTTGGTCCACTGACAAGAAACCATATACTGCTAGAAAGCCCCTTAGCTGAGATCAGCTCATGCGAGGAGCTGTGAAGAGGCTGTAGCACAGGAGAACAGAAGTGCTAGAATGTTCTGCACTGCTGCTCAGGCTGAAACACCCACAGAGACCTGTGGGGAGAGGATTTTGCTTCAAATAAAGAGAACAGGTCTGAACTTTATTCCCTAGCCATCCATGTGGAGGATCATTTCCATTCTTCGGTTAAATAGTTGCATGGCAGCAAGAACCCAAGAGAAGTCTCCATCCGTTCAGAGCAGAACTAGAATTGAGAAACACTCAAATCAAATATAGATTGTATGGTCTCTACAAATGTTATGGGAATATTTGAAGGAGGCATTATCCTTTAATTCTGTTTCAGGAAATCTTATTTCTGCCTGTATATTCTATTTGTCCCGTGTGGAAAATTAGTGTTTAAACAACAGATGTTCTCTTGTCGAAGTCCCCAGAAGACAAGGTCCCTGGGTTCTCAGCCTTTGTTTCCAGGGAGGATGAGCTTCCCTAGCAGGACAATGGAAAGTCCAGAGCTTCACAATTTTTGTGGACAAAAGAGATCTAACCCTACTGATAACACAAGAGCTCAGTAAATATCTAACTCCAAGGTGTAATTGCAGGTTTGACATGCTAGCAGTGGCCAGGTCACCCTTATGATTGCAAGTTTGGGCACAGAGCCCTAAGGCTCTGGCAGGGTGGCCATGCTATTCAATCTTCCAGAACAGCTGGTGATCTCTACATACACATTTCTGTTCACCAGGGAGGCATTGCCACTCCACCTGCCTGAAAAGAAATGCATCAAAATAGGCAGGATTCAGACTTGTCAACCCATCTCAAAGGGTCACCCTGGGTCTGCCCACCAGCTACGTTTTCATCAGTGGCAAAACCAAGCCTGCTCAGCCAGTGCCTAGAAGCATTCAGGGTCACACACTCCAATTTTAGAAAACGTGATGGATGAAAGCTGGGCGATGAATTGCTCTGACATTTTTTAAGCTGTAGTAGTTTCTATTTCATGTGCCAGGGAAACTTTATTACTCTGTTAGGGTAGACTATTCTAGCACTCCAGGGAAGCTAAAAATCAGTCACTGTCTCACCAAGTGGCTAAAGAAACAAGTCAAGTGAAATTATAAATAGGAACTTCATAGGGCTCACACTCAGATTGGTAAAACCTGTAACTATCTTTCCAGTATTTCTGCTCTCTCCCTTGCAAAAGGGAAGATTTATTTTTTCCTCAAAGTTTATTAAAAGTAGCTGAACTAGCATGGGGAGGCATTTTACCTGGCATATGCTTGAATGAAGAGCAAAAATTAGCTATTACACAAATTTAAACACTCACATACATACTTAACTTGTATCCCAAACTCCATTCTACTCTCAAACTGCATTCCACTAGGTTTGAAAAACCCAGCCCTACTCAACTGAGATGCAACCCAGCAGTATGAAAACCCTACCACGGACTCCAGGCACGGGACATCCTCTGGAGGCATCAGGAAAATGTCTACAAAGTCACCTGTCTTTGTTTTCTAGAATTTCTTCCATGATTTCTAAGCCTGTTTTGAAACAGCCCTGATAGCTAGGCCCTGGTGGCTTAGACCAATAAATCCTAAATACTGAGGAGGTTGACGTCCGAGGAGAATGATTCAAAGTCAGCCCAGGCAAAAAGTATAGGAGATTCTATCTTCAGTTAATCAGCAAAAGCCAGAAGTGAAGGTGTAATTCAAGTGGTAGAGTGCCAGCCTTGAGCTAAAAATATGTGAAAGAGCTTTAGATCCTGAGCTCAAGCCCTAGTATAAGGGAGAAAAAGAAAGAAAATGAAAAGGAGAGAGAAAGAGAAACAGCGTCAGAAGACAATGAGACAGAGAGAAAAGGAGGAGGAGGAAGAAGAAAGAGAAAAAGAAGGAGAAGGGAAGAGGGAGAGGAAGAGGGAGGAAAAAGGAGGAAGAGAGGAGAGGAGAGGAGAAGAGAGGAGAGGGGAGGAGAGGAGAGGAGAAGGGAGGAGAGGGGAGGAGAGGAGAGGAGAAGGGAGGAGAGGGGAGGAAAAAGAGCCTAGGCGTCAGCTAGTTTTTTCTGCATTCCTGCTATGAGTTGTACTCTGAAGACAGACGGCTGGACTGCCCTTACTAACATCTGAAGAGTGCGCAGAGCAGGCTCCAGAAGATACATCCACTAACTGTTCAGAATGGTCTCCCAACACAACAGAACGAGGACTTTTCCCATGGCACTTATTCTACAATTCTCGTGGAGTTTGTGCTTAGGTCATCAATAGCTGACCACTGAGGAAATTGACATCTCCAGTCTATATCCTCCCCTGAGCTCCAGATTCCTATATCCAATAACTTGGATAATCAAAGAGACAACTTAAACTGTGCAGGTCTAAGAGAGTTTGACTCCCTTTGCTTCAGAGGCCAACATCACATCCCCTGTCTTCTCATCTCCATGAATGACATCACCACTCACACAGTTGTTCAAGGCAGATCCCTAGGGTTCATCCTGAGTCCTCTCTTCCCTTTACCCCCATTGCATGGCTATCTATCAGCTGGTCCCACTGTATCTACCTACACAATTCATACCAAGGCTGTCCTCTCCATCTTGATGCCTAACTACCCTACATTGCCAGAATACACAGAAATAGCTTCAGATCCAGTCTCCAGGATACCAACAGTAATTCTTTTTCTACCCAATGAAGTACTCAGGTTTAAATCACACCCTGTTATATCCTAGCTGGGATATAACTGAGGGCTTCAAGCCTTTGTTCTGGCCCTGTGGTCCCTGACTTTCTCCCACACCCCCTTGCTCCCACTCCACCCACATAGCCATGTTATTCTTCCTTCTGCCATTTCCATAGCCTACCTCATTTCTTCCTTAGGGCCATTGTACTTTCTGCTCTGGTCCCTAACCTTTTCTTGGGGGAGGGGGTGATTATACTTTTAGGACACTGTACAGATGCTACCTAAACTTGAACTTGAATTAACAAATAGCCTAGCTGCATTAGTATTAGCCATTTCTTGATGTTTGTTTGTCAGTTTTGGGGCTTGAACTCTGGGCCTGGGCACTGTCCCTCAGTTCATCAGCTCAAAGCTAGCACTCTACCACTTGAGCCCCAGTTTTCTGGTTGTTAATTAGAGATGAGAGTCCCCTTCCCAGGCAGGCTTTGAACTGTGATCCTCAGATCTCAGCCTCCTGAGTAGCTAGGATTACAGGCATGAGCCACTGGTGTTCAATTTCTTTAGGTTTTGTTTCTCCAGGTGTTGATCATCCTGTCACATTAGAAATAAATGGCATTTTATCTAGTACTTTACAGTTTCCGTAAGATACACACACACAAACACACCTGAGCTCCATGGAATCTGGACCTTGTCAAGCAACAATAAGTATTTTCAAATGAATGCTTTAATTTGATAGTCATATTCCTGTTAAATATTCCCATGCAATTCATGGGCAAGAATAAAACAAACTACAATGTACACCTCTCTAAATCACAATATGCACTTTCTCTCTTGTCTTCACACAGATGATGGTTCTCTCGTCTAGAAACAGCCTTCCTTTCTTTTTCTTGTGAGCTCTTGTTCATCCTTCAAAAT